TGGGAAATTGAATTGTTCTCCAAAGCCAAGATGCCACAGCGCACAATCAACCATTAGTTTTTCAGCCCCAACAGCTGGATGTTCCGACAGCAAATTGCTCCGTGCCGCCCTGGGATAGCTCTCTGTGATTTATCTCCAGGGATCACGCTGGTCCAAGCGTCGGTATGAGACAGAATGATACGTCTCGTGCTCAAAGAGTGCATCGCAGCGAGGCTTATGGATGAGTTTTAGGAATGTCTTTTTGTTTGCAACTTGAAAGGACTGAATGTTGAAAGTTGAAGTGTTTGGGATCAGAAGAAGAAGCAAGATAATATTGATAATGATAATGACAATAATACTTACTGTATATAGTGATTGTTTAGGATACTCAAAGGCGCGATACAAAGGGACAGGTTATTAAGAAAACTTGGTACTCAGGGTTCGGCACGTTGTTCTACTGTGAGTGAGAAGGTTGGAGTCTGTGGATCTGAGGCGGCGGAAGGAACAGTACTGACAGAGGAGGTTGGTAAGAATGAGAGACCAGGTGTGGAAGGAACTCGAAGGTGATGAGGAAGACCTTATTGTATGCGGTATGGAAAGAGGAGCCTGTGGAGTTGTTTCAGGACGGGGGTGATGTGGTGTCTGGAACGGGTGTGCAGGTGGGCGGCAGAGTTCTGGATATGTTGCTGTTTTGGAGATGACGCTTAGCTTCTGGATTTCACATGCAAGAATACCCACACACACACAGACACTGGTTGCTAAGGTTTAAGTGGTCTCCCATCAAAGTATTAACCAGGCTTTACTGTAGAAAAGGGGGGGGGTGCTACGGCTGAGCTAACAAAATGTCTTACTGCATCTTTAAATTATGGATATATTTGATACCAATAGAAAATTGCACAAGGATATTGCCATTTCTCAATATTGTTATTTAAAGCTATCCTTGTTTCCATATGAACGTTCAATCTTGCCTCTCCACAGATCTGACCTGTAAGATGGTACAGTCACAGTATCAATGCAGACTGTCAGTTGAATGTCATACTGTGGAAGATTCCCAGCAAAGAAATTACATACTGTTAACAAGCAGGCGGTCGACCCCTGAGGTTTTATCACACAGTGAGAGAGAGACAATATGAATCAATCAAACAAGCCTTAAAACCATAAACCGTACAAGCCATATGGAAAACTCCTCATGCAGATAGTTTATTCTCTGTACTGTACACGGATATAAGGAACCAAACAGCGTGTATATGGAAGCATACCCTGGAAAAGGCACTACTTCAAGTCAGGTGTGATTCTCTGATCTGTTAAAGTCTGTAAAGCCCTCTGAGGCGGCTGCTGTTGTGATTTAGGGCTACACAAAAATAAATTGAATTGAATTTAGTTTTTACAATGTCAAAAAATTGTGAAACAGCTTTCCTATTCAACCAAAATAGCTGGGTTCTAAAAGTCAATATATTTTAAATAAATAATTCAAAATAAATATTCTAACTTCTTATTTCTAGAGATCAAATAGAAATGATTAGGTTAAAAGTGGGAATGCACCTTTTATGTATGTAGTATTAAAAAAAAATCCCCTTAGGGAACTTTGTCTTCTGCATTTGACCCATCCTGCAAATGCCACGTGGGCCTCTGTCAGAAGCAGTGGTTGCCGTAGTGCTGAATTCAAATGTTGATTCTCAGCTTGGTCAGGATTACCAGAGCTGGAGGATGTACCTAATGTGCATGTTTTTAATGGTAGGGGGAACTGGAGCACCCAGAGGAAACCTTCACAGACACGCAGAGAACATGCAAACTCCTCTCAGAAAAACCCTGTTCCGAATATATACAGTCTATGGTTCCGACTGGGATTCAAAACAGGACCTTTTGGCTAAGAAGAGTGTTGTTAATTCATTTTTTGAAAAGTCAGTACATACTGTACATATTTTGATAATGGTTGTGTTGTTGATTGTGAGATACCATTGGAAAATAAAGTAAACTATTTCAGACCTAATGATCATGTAGCAACAAGTTTCCCAAAAGGGCATTGGAAGAATGGGTCAAATACAGTGGAGACATTTCTATCTACGAGGGCGATGTATCAGTGTTTCCAGACCCAAGGCCGGCATGTACAAATAATATTTGACTTGTTGTGATCAAATGACTCACTCTCAATGATTGCAAAAGTATGTATATTAATTTGCCAAAAGATTATAAAAAACAAGCAAGTATTACTCTTTCTCTTAGTCAAGACAAGATAAGTAAACATTCACAAGTCCTGGAGTGACACAGGTCATCTGCCCCTATGGACTCCTCTCCCATATATCTTTGTTTGGAAAATTCTGTGTTTGAACTGTTTGATTCTCAATTCAACTCAATTTTCTCTTGTATAGCCCTAAATCACAACAGTAGTTATCTTGGAGGACTTCAGACAACCTTTCAATTCACCAACACAAATCAGAAAATGAAATAGTTCAAACTCAAGGAATTCAATGATAGAAAAATCATTGGTATACATAGTTCCCACATGACGTCACTACATACGGGGATTTGCCGACCCGGCGCCATTTGTCTTGGCATTCTGTGGGCCAAAAAATAGAAAAAGAAGCTGAAACGTGTGATAAAGTTGAAAATGGTCGTCTCCTGCTGGGTCAATGGATGTTCTAATCGTGCCGGAGGTTCAGTTAAACTTGGATTTTACAGTATACCCATCATTAGACTTCATGAATGTGAGAAGACTAAGCTTTTGTCAGAACAACCACGGAGGTTATGGCTTGCGAAGATAAACAGGCAAGAAACTCCCTCAAAACACGCAAGAATATGCTCGGAGCACTTTGTGTCAGGTGCGTATCGTATCTTATAATGTGTTGACAGACGTAATTTACTCAGTACTAACTTGTGTATGCTGATAGCTGGTAACTTGAGAGTTTCATTATTTAGATTACTTTATTATGAGGAGGATCGGTGTCGCGTCCGAGGCTCTCGAGGGCAACGTAAATGTATTAAATAGATAATAATAGTTCTATGGTGGGCTAAAACAATGTTCACAAACAGCATTGCTTCTGTAAAAAGATCTGTGTCATAAAATAAACTGCTCTTTACGCCTGGAAAAATCAGTTGCCCACCATTCACCAAAACATACGGTCAAAAACGCGGAAATAAACAATAACAGCAATCCAGAGTGTCCGTGTGGCATTAGCATTAATTAAATTAATTGTTAATATAATTAAAATAATTAAATGGAGCTCCAACTGGTATTAAATCTAAAGTTTTTGAGAAATGTTTGCATTGCTTGTTAATTTTTGCTGCATAATTTGATCAAATATGTAAAACATGTCCGTAGCACGTTAAACTGTGGTGCCATTGTATTAATATACAATTACTTGCTCAAAAGTTGCCCTTTTTTTCCAATTTGCGTTTGAATATCTACATTTATTCTCATTCTTCTGTTTAATGGAATGCACAAACACAGCAGCGTGCCATCAAAGATGGCGTCTCCGAGGAGGTCATGTGACATTCATTGGTCTGTGGGAACTATGTATTGGTCTATAAGAGGCACGGGACTACAGATGAAAAATTGTTGCTTGGCTAATTCTGGCATATTTACAAAAATGTTCACTAAGGAAAAACTCTAAAATCCTGTAAAGCCGTTTTTGAGAGGAAAGAAGACATGTACTTACTTACTTACTGTACTTACTAGGAAAGAAGACAGGGCGTCTTCTTTCCTTACTTACAGTGAGATTGCAAACATTTCAGCGCACATGCTCATGGACCTTTTGGAACTGGAACCAAGCCCCGGTGATCCAAGATGGCACCATATTCAAATGAATGGCTTGTGCTCAGTAGCGCATGGGAGATAAAAGGGTACAGAAAGATTAGCGGAACTCGCCCATATTTGGGCATTGTCTGGTCCTCCCGGTTCTGCGCAGTGGACAAGCTCCCATGATGCGTTACACCAAATACGTGTGTGGGGGCTCGGCCGCGCTTTGACCAATCCGCGTCTGGTGATCAGAGCTAGAATGGAGCCAGAGCAGGAGACAAACAATCAGAGTTTATTGCATTAAAGTAAGGATTTAACCACAAAAAAAGTTCAGGATGACAAGAGACACCAAAGGGACATATTGAATTCTATGGGACGTTTTTCTGGGTAGCCCACTTGAATTCAGCAGTACCACAGGCGCCCGTGTCCATTGGTGGGACAGCTATATGTTAATACCCTATACAGATATAATTATAAATCCATAGCTGAGGCCCACCCCCACTGGGCCAAACTACTGCCACTAATAGCCATTGAGGCACTTTTAACAGCGTCATCCAGCCAACTTCAGCTCCACCAATTTTGCCCTTGGAATCCAGTTGTTAACTTCACTTGTACATACAGACATTTGTCATTGATTGTGTCACATTATAGACATTATAGCCATTTTAAAGACCAGATCAGAGCAGGTCCAGTCAAAACAGTTTTACAACCTGGGTTGTCGTCTGGTGACCTAAAGTGGCCCTCATACTAAAATTTCCCACTGTATTTAAGTATATTGTTCTCGAATTAGGCCTCTTCCAGTGGACTGAGCAAACTCAAAACTCCGCGTGGCACTCGGAGACACAAAAAATCCCAGGTTTGGTCCGAGGAGGGGCCCGCGTGGGTCGGGTTTCCAGCGAAGTTCGTCCCGTTGGCGACCTCCACAGATCTATAGCTCATCGCCGCCTCTAAGGACATGTAAACAGCACTTCCGGGTGATTTATACATCAGTGATATGCCTGCCTGCTTCCTGTAGGCGGGGCGAAGCTACCTCAGCATCCTTCCTAGCATTTGTTGGAAAAAAGGGAAGCTAAACAAACCAAAGTTTTCCTCCGAGTTACTAAAATTGGAGCCGACATGGATGAAAAGGATATATTCAATTAACCAAACCACAAAATCTGGAGGTCTCATGGCGCACACGATGGAATTATGATAACATAGCGAGCCGTGTGGATGTCAAGAAGTTTTCGAAAAATAGTTTGTGGGGAACTTTTTGGAGACCGAAAAAGCAGCAAGCTGGCTGGCTATGGCGCGGGAGAAGAGAGGGGCAGAAGACACCGGTGGATCTGGGGGCAAAAATGACCCTAAAGCCGCACAAAGGAAAAAGAAAAACAAAGATAGTAAGACCAGGACTGTCCAGGCGAATATACTTTACGATCGTGTGAAAGGAGAGGACACGCCGAACCGCCACTATGCAAACAACAACATTAAGACAACCAAATACACCCTACTCTCGTTCCTACCAAAGAATCTTTTTGAGCAATTTCACCGTTTTGCTAATGTGTACTTTGTCTTCATTGCGTTGCTAAACTTCGTCCCAGTGGTAAATGCTTTTCAACCCGAGCTGGCGTTGGCTCCAGTTGTTTTTATTTTGTCTGTCACCGCTATTAAAGATTTATGGGAGGACTACAGGAGACACCGCTCTGATAAGGAAATTAACCATATGGACTGTCTGGTGTACAGCAGGTAAGCCATTGTTATGATCATTGATAATAATACAGCTGTTTTTTCACCCCCATCCAGGTTCTTTATAGTCCCAGACAGTGGATCTATAGACTAGATTCTGCCAGAGCCACTTGTTGCTGCAAAGAGCATTGGGAAACTTCCAAGTGCAGATGAGTGCAAGTTTTTTCAAGTCTGATTACTTGAAATGGGACAAAAACTCTAACTTGGATGTTAATAAAGCTCGTCTGCCTCTATACTTTCATCAGAAACTTAGATTATTTTACACTAACTCTAAGATTCTGCTTAACTTTTATCGCTGCACCATAGAAAGTTTGCTTGTACCAAACAACACAGTCACACTGTGTTGTTTGGTAATATATTCCAATGCTGAAAATGGCAATTAAAATGAAGCTGAATCTGAGAAAGTTCAGACGTGTGAAAACTTGGCTGAATGAAGGCCATGTCTGTCACTGTTATTACAGCTATATGAATTAGGTTGTGGTAAAGGTGTACATCTTTCCTATGTTTTCCCAGAGTTTGGAAAACCCATGATAAGCAACATTGAGAAGATCCTTTATTCGCTCTACAGTCGGGAAATGTCAGCGTACACAAAATATACAGAGATAAATAGATGTGAATGAAAGTATAAATCAATATGTATAATTTCAGTTAGCGCAACATGGGAAGCCTAAATAAAGTAGATAAAGTGATATTCAGTGGACATTCTGGAATTGAAGTATACTATTTAAAAATGAGATGATATGTACAGGCTCAGCAGTTTTCATTGTACAGTCTGACAGTAGCAGGAAGAAAGACCTGTGGCATCTCTCCTTCATACAGCTGGGATGGATCAGTCTATCCCTGAAGCTGTCCTCTATGGCAAACAGCGTGTAATGAGGGGTGATGTGAAAACAGATAGAATACAGAAACACATTCAATAGATTCAGTAATGGCTAACGTTATTGACGTGATTGTTTATATCTATCGTTTATCAAATTTTCCTTGAATTTTCTGGAGCTCCTAAAGGCTCCCATTGACGGCCTGTTCAATGGACCTTCTCAAAAGCTTGCAGTGTACTTCTGCTGAATGCGAGTTTGACTAGTGGCTAATGAAAAGCAGCTCTGTCAGATGCTGCAGAGTTCAGGATTTCTCTCTCTGGCAAAACCTTAATATGTAAATTACAGCACATTATGAAATGGGGGGGGATCTGCGACAGATCCACTGAGGCCCTGTTCAGACGGAAACGCTGCGGAAATGCTGCAAAGCAATTAGCAACAACGACCAGGGTCCTCGAAGTGCACAGCGTCTACACAACGACGGAAAACGATGTAGTTTTAGCCCCCGGTCAGTAGGGGTCAGTTGAACTTTACAACACGACAGACGCAACCTCCACCAGTATAATCACTTCCTCAACAAGATCCTCCTCAGGCCACTGCAACACGGTAAAGAATGCACTAACATCATTCTGCATTTAAAAGTAGCAGCAAAAATGGAAACTGAAACTACAGCTTTGTGTGGTTTCTTTGGACCAACGAAGGAGAGGAATTCTCCTCCATGTTACGCTCGAAGCATTAGTTGATCCGCCGCCATTGTTGTTTACATACGTTCTCGGCTACTGCTTATGTCCAAATGTACGTGCGGGGAAGGGGTGAGGTCATAGCAGGCAGAGAATTGTTGCAACTAATGGATTAATGAAAGAGTTTTCTGAACATAGACTTTTGAGCCTGCTTGGAAGAGGTGCATCCCTAAGATATATAATTCTTTATTTCTTAGGGATGCACCGATTGTGACATTTTGGGTCGATACCGATGTTTATCATAACAACTTGGCCAATGTTTGGCCGATGTTTTTTCTTTTTGTTCATTTTTATGGATTTATTGAAAGAACAGTAGGCAACTAATCAATTATCTAAATAATCATTCATTACAGACTTATTTGTTATCTATTGTTAATCATGGTCAATGTCTGATTCTAAATGAAAAGTATCCATAATTTATGTGTCACATGTGGCACCACTTGTATGTGAAAACCAGATCCCGTGAGCCTTCTGAAGCTAAGCAGGACAGGGCCTGGTTAGTACTGTGATGGGAGACCTCTGGGAACACCGGGTGCCACACTAGGGGTTGGCTGTAGTGCCAAAATGACTATTTAGTCAAGGACTAAACCACTTCACCCACATTGTGTATGAATGTTTGGTTGTGGTTGGAGGGGCCAATGGCACATACTGGTTGCTTTGCTTCTGTAATTGTGCCCCAGGGTAGCTGTGGCTACAGTAGTAGATAGTAATAGTAAAAGCGCTATATTAAACCAATGCATTTATACTTTTTCTGAGCCAACGTGGCCCATGTTGTTGCGAGTCAAACCACCTCCCTCTACACTCACACTATTGACAATTTGTTGGACCTTTTTTCTTTTAAATACTATTTTTCCTCAGGGCTGAGTCGGCGCATATTGCTAATGAAAAGCAGTACTGTGGCCTGTGCGTCTTACACACTGCATAGTTCATGCTAATCAAAAGACTTAGTGTTTACGCTCCGCACTTCTGCTGCGGAGGCTTCATGGCTCATGTTGTTCTCAGGACTCGGAAATAATTGAATTTCTTCTGCTATGGTGACACTGTACAAAACATGGCCTTTCTTAAAGGAACTCAAACTGCTTTGAGTTTTAGTTTTTAAATCACAAAAAAGGCTTGACGGAGCCAAGTTGGTCTGTAACAAGTTAAATCGGTTAATTGCAAATAACCAATAGTTGAAATAATCAATAATTGAATTAAATTAATTAACCCAACATAGACTTAAAAATAGAATTATCTGAATCCTAAAATCTCCAGCACATCTTCCCAGCATAATGACTGCAGAATAACATTTATTTTTAAATCCACAACCCAATGGCGCATGGCGCCGTAAAGATGGCGCCGTGGCAAGAGCTCCGGTGTGTGTCGTTGGTGCACACCGGGGTAGTCTTGCACAGTTTTTCCAATGTGGTTTTACTACAAATGGCAAATAAATGAATCTGAATCTGAATCTGAATGTGCAGTTCTCTCTATGCAGAAACTCACTTGAGCTTTGTTTTGGTCCAAATGTGTAGAACATCACATATTCACTGAACCTATGGGATTTAAACAACTCATCAATTAACAAATAATCGTTAATCACAGCCCAAGAGCCATGTTCAAGCCTTAAAAACACACATACATTTGTGAGATTGTGGCATTAAATGTTGCCCCTTCAGAGTCTAATCGAGATGATCAAGTAAGTCAGAAAAAAGTATATTTCACCAGTAAATCACTTTCTTTTCCCAATGAATCACTTCTGTCTATATTAGAGTCAGAAAACTAGGAGTGTGAGGATACAATATGAAAAGTTTGGTTTCATAGCAAACCTGGAAAATTATTATTATTACAAAATTTTTCTAGCCTGGCCTTAGCCATCCGTACACTCCGCTCAATCATCATTTGCATGTAACGTCTGGGTCTGGCCCTGTGTTAGCGATTACAATTGGTTGAATTTCGACCGACAAATCAGGGAGCGTGGGAGCTGGGTGTTGTAGTTAGTTGTGGGTGATGTCAAGAGGTTGCTTTGAACAGGCAGGTTGTAGTTTGGCAATGGCAAAAAATGCAATAGTAAAGTAATCCGGTCTGGTTCTATCAAGAAATTGAAGCCGGAGCAAGAGGAATGTTTAGCAAATGTAATCGCTGGAAAAAATTGTGGCGCTACTCCCCAAGAGGCTCCGTTAGCGGCAAAGGAGATGGCTAGGGTAAATGCTAAATGCTAACAACAGACTCGAGCGCATTACATACATCACGGTAAACTCAGATCCAATCGTTTCAATCTGCAAAAGGAGTTAACCCCTCCCACCTGTAAACGGAGCTCAATGGAGCACCTCCAGACCTTAGTACAAAATGTAATCTGTACTATGGTGTGGTACGACCAGGCTTACTTTTTTCAAGTCCATGAGAAGATTTGGAATTTGTTGGATTTTACCATTTAGGATAGATACTTAATTGATTCCCGTAGGATAAATTCAAGTGTCCAGTAGCAGCAAAAATAAAGAATACAATTTATCATTCTAACAACAAAAAATTACTGATCAGCAACAGCCCTTCAGGTCACAGCAGCAGAGGTGGAGTAGCTGCTGGGTGGAGCAGGACGGGTCACAAGGTGTAGTGGCTGCTTGGTTCGGACCATTTTCTCTGCTCTAGTCCAAGGTAAAAAGCTAAATGCTTCATTAGCATTTTTTAAACAGTTAGCATTCCTCCAGTGGATTTTCACCTGATCCACTTGGTTCGGACCATGAATCCTCTCTGCTCTGGTCTTTCTCCCACCTCTATCCATTATCCTCTCCTATTTAACCTCTTATCACCTATTGACAAAGATGGACAACTCTTGTGCACTCAATAAGATTATGAAGAATGTGGTATTGTGAATCACAGTTGTGTTACTTCTCTGGGGCTTTTCGTCTGAAGTGTAATAATAGCTTTACTCAATGTGAGCGTATAATATGAATCTAATAAAGTAACGAGAAGCATGGGGCCCTCAGTCACAGAGCCCTCTACCAGCTTTCAAGGAACTGATTGAACTCTGGATAATTCCATCCATTGCCTCCATGACTGTGTCATGGTGGCAGCAGTCTGGGTGAGAAGAGGGGCCCAGGTTTCTCCATCTCATCAAAGGGAAATCCCAAAGTGAATCTTCCGTGGGGCCTCCCCCCCAGTTTATGTCTGCTACTGAATTTGAAAAGAAAGATTTGGCCAAAGGCGGTTTATCCACATTGTAACATTTGTCCTCAAGAATGGCAATGTTTTTCTGACAATTTTGATACATTTCCAGTCTTGTTCAAGCAAACGAGACAAACAAGAAAGAGGGTGCAGAAGTTCATTGAGAGACCTGAAATTGGTTGATGACTTTTTTATGGGTTAAAGTCCAGTTGTTAAGATCCTCAATGCGGTGTTTCTTGCTAATGCAAGAGATCAAGGACATTTTATATAAATGTATTAACACTTATGGACAGTGGTCATCCCACTCCCAATGGACCTATGACTCCTATGTGTTTGTTATTAAGATAAGAATTCCTTTATTCGTCCCACAGTGGGGACATTTTGATGTTGCAGCACACATATAGGACAGTAGTAAGAGCACACAGGGAGCACACACAATACAGTGCCTTGCGAAAGTATTCGGCCCCCTTGAACCTTTCAACATTTTGCCACATTTCAGTCTTCAAACATAAAGATATAAAATTTAAATTTTTTGTCATGAATCAACAACAAGTGGGACACAATCGTGAAGTGGAACGTAATTTATTGGATAATTTAAACTTAAAAAAAAAATAAAAAACTGAAAAGTGGGGCGTGCAATATTATTCGGCCCCTTTACTTTCAGTGCAGCAAACTCAGTCCAGAAGTTCAGTGAGGATCTTTGAATGATCCAATGTTGTCCTAAATGACTGATGATGATAAATAGAATGCACATGTGTGTAATCAAGTCTCCGTATAAATGCACCTGCTCTTTGATAGTCTCAGGGTTCTGTTTAAAGCGCAGAGAGAACCATGAAGACAAAGGAACCATGAATACTTTCGCAAGGCACTGTTTATACAAATAAGTAGTAGCTATGTTTCTTAGCTAACATAACCAGCTGTAGATGCTGAAAATGCTTCAATACCAGTCAAAAAATATATATGTAGTAGTAGTGCAGTTATATACTCTGCAGTTAAATAGTGCAGGATAATAAGTAGATAAGTAAAGTGACATTGTTCTGTGACATCCTGAAGTTGCAGTATTGCACATTGCACATGATTTAAGAATTTACTTAATTACAGATGAATGAAATTTACAGTCTCAGCAGTTCTTATTGTACAGTCTGACAGCAGCAGGAAGGAAAGACCTACGGAACCTCTCCTTCACACCGCGAGGGTGAATTAGTCTGTCACTGAAGCTGCTCTCCAGAACAGAGAGAGTGTCTTGCAGGGGGTGACAGTCATGGTCCAGCATAGATGTTAGTTTGCTCAGGACCCTCCTGTCCCCCACCTGCTGCACTGTGTCCAGGGAACAGCCCAGGATTGAGCTGAACTTCCTGATGACCTTGTCCAGCTTCTTCCTGTCCCTCTCTGTGATGCTGCTGTTCCAGCAGACCATACTGTACAAGATGGCTGATGTCATCACAGAGTCATAGAAGGTCTTCAGGAGTGGCCCCTGCACTCCAAAAGACCTGAGCCTCCTCAGCAGGTAGAGCCGGCTCTGGCCCTTCTTGAAGAGGGCGTCTGTGTTATGAGTCCAGTCCAGTTTGTGGTTCAGATGAACACCCAGGTACTTGTAAGAGTCCACTCTCTCAATGTCCTTTCCCTGGATGTTCACTGGGGCTGGAGCGGCAGAGTGACGTCTGCGGAAATCCACCACCATCTCCTTGGTCTTCCCCGCGTTGATGAGGAGGTGGTTCCACTGACACCAGTCCACAAAGTCCTGTATAACTCCTCTGTACTCCGCGTCATCGTCCTCGGAGCTTAGTCCGATGATGGCAGAGTCGTCTGAGAACTTCTGGAGGACACAACTGATCTGTTGTTGGTGAATTAACAACTATGTGATTTCCTCTGGCACACTTTGTGATTTAGGGCTATACACAAATAAATTAAATTGAATTGAAAGCATTGGGGCAACAGTGGCACAGTTGGTAAAGCATTGACCTTTGAGCCTGAAGGTCGTGGGTTGAGCCCACCACAAGACCTTCTCTACCAACTTCCACTGATGTCTGCTGTGTTCTTGGGCAAGACACTTAACCCCACTTTGCCTGAAGCCCCTGCTGAAAAGTGAATTGGGTGCAGCTCTGATTGCCACCCCCAACCCAGGAAAGGATTAAGAGGAAGAAAATGGATGGATGGATAAAAGCAGTGGATTTATTGTATGAAAGAAGAGTATTGGAATAGAATATTACCAATCCAAAACGGCACAAGTTATTTTGTCCTCGTGGTAAATGTTATTGAGACTGCAACACTGGTTGGTTTCTTTTATCAGCAAACTGTCAAATATTTTTTGGTATGTAGTCTTAATCTTTGAGACTTTTTGATGTTGAATTTTACATATACGTTAAATTCACCTGTGTAATTAATGAAGGAAAGGTGGTTAAAAAAGGTGGTTAAAAGTTCACTTGTGCAAAACAACTGGACCCATGGTTGCATGAAGCCTGCTGGATAAACCAACAGACACATTAAACAGCTTGTGTCCAGGCGTGGTTCTGTATCCTCCCTCTGTGTTGTATTTTATAAATAAACATCATTTCACACAGTTCAGCCCCAGAGCTGGTCTCAGTCTGATTGCAGCTTCTGGAGGCGTTATTGCACAGAGCTGGTTTTCCGTCTGATCCACAACACACTCTTACGTACCTTTAGACGCTTATGGCCACCTTAGTATCTTACACCGATGGTCTCCGTTCGACTCTGACACTTTTTGGCCAAGGCAGGGCCTGGCACATGCTGGTTTCTCACTTTTCTAAATCTTTTCAAAATAAAAATTCATACATTCACTGCATTGCAGGCTGCAGAGTTCAAAGAAATTGAAAAAAGTTGCGACTTATAGTCCGGCAATTACAGGAGTTCTCATCACAATATCCAGTAACATTTCCTTTATATAGATTTTATACTTCTAGGGCTGGGCGATAAACTATAATTACATATATTACGATAGACATTTGATCAATATCAATAGAGAATGGGGTTGATATAATGTTCAATAATTTCACTTAAAAAAAAACAGCAAGAAAACCAATCCAGAAACACACGGCATTCCAAAACCAACAACAACAACAGCTGGATAATGGGGCGTGTTCAGACCACCGAAACGCGTGAACGCAGCGATGTGGTCTGCAAACTTTGTAAAGTCTGGGAGCGCAATGAATTTATTTATTTAGGTTTAAAAAACGAATCAATGGTTATTGATGTCGACTGATATGAAACACTTGTACTGTGATATAGATTTCACTGATTTTGCCCAGCCCTACTTACTTCTTTATTATGCTAAAGTCAGACATTATACTTGATAATTGCTTCTTCATTATGCCAAATAGATTTTATACTATAATTTTGATTATAGTATAGACTCTATACTATAATCAAATAAAATCTATTTATACTATACTATAGAGTTATTGTTTATTTATCTTGTGTTGTGTGCTCCTCATTCCTACTTGCAATTTGTGATGCAACACTGAAATTTCCCCACTGTGGGATGAATAAAGGATCCCTTAATTGTAATATTATCTTTTTCTGAGTTTTAGTTGGTGTATTTAATGGGTTAGAAAAACCGCTTGCTTGTCACTTCAAGGCATCTTATTTTTCTTTTTAGATGTAAAATAAAATATAATTTGTCTCTTCTTCGTTTGTGTATTTGTCTTCAAAATGGAGTACCACATTTTCCCAGACAAACATGTCCATTAGCATACAGAACAGGCCAGTACAACACACAAACCATCACGTCCATCATTTGCTTTCTTCCTGTTCCCATCTGAGGACATTACACAGACACCAGAACACTTCTGTTTTTCAATTGACAAAACGCAGCAAAAGTGCCTTTATCAACCGCTCTGATACGAGTCATTTAAGTTTGAGGAAAGCCGTCATGAATAAATAAACGTCTGTTTTTCCTTTCACGTCTTTCGCCTGTTGTTTTGAGCTTGGACTTATGTATTATTCAGCTGATTTGCGACTGGGAATATCAGAACGGTTGAGAAATGAACTCTGCTCGCCATTAGCATAGTGTGGCTAAAAATATCAGCATCACAAACTGCGTCAGGACATAAATTTGGATTAACGCGTTTTGGTAGCAGCGGAAATCATCTCCACCTTCTGCTCTGAGTGAAAGCATTTTGGATGCTGAAGAAATCTAATGAGAGACCCATATTTATGTTTATTCTTTTGTATTATATACAACTAAATATTTACGCACTAGAATATACAGCACTTTGACTGTAGCATAATAAAGAAGCAAGTAATACATTTTTATACACATTTTTTGATTATTACAGATTATAGACTTATTATCCCTAATTCTAAATCTAGAGATTTTTTTTTTGTAGAGAGTTTAGTATAGAGTGTTCATTTACCTTGTGCTGTGTGCTCCTCATTCATAACATTCTGTAACTGGTTATCCAACACTGAAATGTCCCCACTGTGGGACAAATAAAGTATCTCTTAATCTTAATGTGACTTAATGTGATTCTAGACTTCCAGTGAGATTTATACATAATTTGCATTGTTGGCATAGCTCAGCCTCAGCATTCCTCCTGTAAGTGGTAGATGACCAATGTTGACGAATGTCTAGTGTCCTGGATCCTCACTGTCCTTAGACATTGGGAAGGAACTACTCAGAAAACCTAGTGGGAGAAATGTGAGAAACCTTGAGGAGGCCCACTTTGAGGGAGGGATCCACTCCATTAAGTCCTAGAAGTAAATTGTTGAAGCTATCATTTATTGAATCATCAGGTCAATAAAGTAATTATAGCGTTTGGCCTGTTACTGTCTTTCCCGCAGGACGGAGCAGCGATACGTGGAGAGGTATTGGAAGGAGGTGCGTGTGGGAGACTTCATCAGACTGAGGTGTAACGAGATCCTGCCTGCGGACGTCCTGCTGCTCAGCTCCTCGGACCCGGACCGACTGTGCCACATCGAGACCGCCACGTTAGACGGAGAGACCAACCTGAAGCAGAGGCAGGTGGTCCGCAGCTTCTATGACCTGGTGAGACCACGATGGTTACCGTACACCTACATGGAATGTGAATGAAAGGCGAATCCGATAGCCAACTCTATTGTCTTACGTGTCAACAGGGCCGAACATGCCATGCTAAAATCACTGTCAAACACTGGTATAGATTAAAATAGATAAGAAAAGATGTTTGTTGTTTTTTTGACAGAGTTTTATATAAGAACAATGTTGTACAAACTAATCAGACCACAACACGCTGTCTTCATTTTATCAGTGTATCTTTTACTTGTGAGAACGTTTCAGTGACATCACATCATGACTCATAGTTGTTAGACATTTATTATTTATGCACATTGTCATTTACCACTTTTCACAAATCCATTTAGAATTTATTCATGTTTACCCAGTATTTTGTGCCTATTATTGTGAAAAGTGGATATTCTCAAGATCATGTATTTGGGCTGCTATGATCATGATTTTTATTTTATTCTTTCTCGCTTGTGTTCCAGGATTGTGACTTTGACCCTCTGAAGTACAACAGTGTGATTGAATGTGAGAAGCCCAACAACGACCTGAGCCGGTTTCGAGGCTACATGTGAGTACTCGGGGTGGGGAACCTCAAGATTTGATTACAATTCAGATGCTGCGATTCAAATATAAAATTATTACTTATGCATTTTTAAACTGTTTATATTGATACACCTTTTCCACATTTAAATTCAAGTTAAATTATCTCCATCATATTTTATTACCTTTTATGAAAATATCCATTCGAATGGAAGTGCATGAACATTTGAACTTTAGTGTACTGCTCAAGGTGCTTTTTGCTGCTTTTAGTGTTTCATATGTTAGTTGCAAATAATACGGTCAGAAGGTTCTAAAGGCCTGATGAAACAGTTTTCCTAAGTCAGGAAATTGATTCAGCAATGTGGCATGTGGTTTCAATATGGTCTCTGTCGGGGTGTGTACGTTTCAGAATATGGTCTAGGAGTGTGTAACCTTTACCCAGTCGCACTCTGAATTGTGAGTGGTAATTACGCACGTCAACAGGGGTAGTCTGCCTGTGTGTGTGTGTGTGTGTGTGTGTGTGTCTGCCTCTCTCTGTCTCTCTCTGTCTTCCTTTCTATGTCTCTCTGTGTATGTCTCTGTCTCACACTATCTCTGTTTCTCTGCCTCTCTCTTACTGTTTTCTGTCTGTCCGTCTGTCTCTGTTACTCTTTGTCTCTCTCTGTCTCCATCTGTTTATTGTTTCTCTGTCTCCCTGTCTTTCTGTATCTGTCTGTATGTAAGAATGGTTGTGGTCAGTCCCTTTGCTCCTCGAAGTCGGAGTTGGTTCATATGGCGCTAATAGGTCACAGATACAATTTTATGCAAAAATGTAGGGAAACCTTTCATGGGCCCCGTACCATGCTATTTGTATTGCTCCACCACATGCAAACAATTTTCCCCTTGGGGACAATAAAGTTTTTGAGTTGAGGTGAGATGGCATAGGCTCACTGTTGAAAGTTATCTGTAACCTCACCGCAGAGAGGTAAGATAACATTTATGTCCAACAGAAACTCACAACCTGCCTAATGTTATAGATAGATACATAGATAGATACTTGGATACATAGTCAGATGCTTAGATAGTTACATGAATAGATATACCATGGATATAGATGCAAAGATAGATAAATACTTGGATAGAGATAGATGCTTGGAATTATAGATAGATATTTATATAGATACACATCATCCATATAAACAAGCAGGTGGCTGAGTGGATAGCACTCTCGCCTCTCAGCAAGAAGGTCCTGGGTTCGAATCCCGGCCGGACCAGGGCCTTTCTGAGTGGAGTTTGCATGTTCTCCCCGTGTCTGCGTAGGTTTCCTCCGGGTACTCCGGTTTCCCCTACCACTACAAATATGTACAATAGGTCTGGCATGTGCCTCCTGTTCGGCGACCCCGCTCCCATCTCTGTGTGGAGTGAGAGGACAAGTGCCCAAAAAATAATAACAATTGTAAACCGCTTTGTTACTCTGGTCTGTGAAAGGCGGTATATAAATAAAGCTTACTTACTTACTTACTTACTTACAATTAAACAGCAATTGTAGCAAAAGTAGTTATAATATCCTTTCTCATTTTAGTACATTCATCAGCCCCTAGCCCTTACATAAGCCTACATGTCCCATTACCATGCATGGCCTTAAGCAATCGTCAGTTGAACTTGTGAAGTTTGTGTAACAGGATGTCCTCCGGGTGTGAGTGGGACGTCCTGCTACTTGTCACATGATCACGACATCTCCTCTGTGTTCGTGAGCAGATGCTGTGGGTTTTTCTGTTGCCAGGCTGCAGCTGCTTGAGTTTTATTACATTTCATCCAACAACAGAGGATCTGGTCTGCCCGCGGGTGGACAGAGACCACTCCAGTACACTATTCATTTGTCACAAAGGCACATTTCTCATCTCTCTCTGTCTCCTGTAGACAAATAGTACCTAAGTCTGGTGGGAGACTTAAACCGCTCCACATTACACAGACGTGTCATTCTTTTTGCCCAGTTTATGTCTGAGCAATATGGTTGTGTTCATGTGACATCACAACATTCTAGTTTGTTTTGAGGTTTCTCACTTTTTTCCCACTCAGTTTTTTGTTGTTCCTTGCCGATGCAGAAGGGTCTAAGGTTATACTTGCATGCAAGAAGCCAGATCCTGTCAGACCAGATCCCGTCAGACCTCTGAAGCTGTGCAGAGCAGGGCCTGGTTAGTACTGTGATGGGAGACCTTTGGGAACACCAGGTGCCACAGTGGGGCGGCTGTAAAGTGCCGAAGTGTCGTTGTTGTTGTGTCCTTAGGCAAGATACTTCACTCACATTAGAATGAGACTGGTGTGTGTGCAAATGGTTGGTGGTGGTGGGATGGGCCGATGGCACATACTGGTTGCCTGTCTTCCTGTCAGGTTGCCCCAGGGCAGTAGTAGTTTATCACCACTGTGTTTGGAGTGAAAAATTAATGACGTGTAAAGCGTCTTTGAGTGTCATGAATCTATATAAAACCAATGTATTATTATTAAGGACAGTGGTGATGATCCAGGACATTTATGGACATGGGTCATCTGCCCCTTATGGACCAATGGCTCTATGTGTTTAATGTGTTTAATGCTTGATGTAATCTTTCCTTTATGTGAACTGTGTGATTCTCTGATACCCTTGGCGTATAGACGCCAAGATAACTACTGTTGTGATTTAAGGCTATACAAAAATGAATTTAATTGAGTTTAACATTGCGATGGACGGTAGCTGAATTTATGTTCTGTATCTAATATTAAGTGTAAACAAATCAGACTTGATCATCAGCAAGAACGTCCTGGGTGCAATTCCAGATGGGGCCTTCACAAAGGTACACATTTTGAGTACATTACACTTCCAAAACTAAACTACTTATAGATACTAATTCTTGTCTCTTCAACAATAAAGGATTTTTATGTTTAGTCAGAGTGCCCCGGACCTTCTCTTTGTTTCCCCTAAAACCTGTCCAATGGATTTCTCTTTGAGTTCTAGTACTCTTGTGATGTAGGTTATGAATACGATATATTTGCATCAGACACTGGATTCCCCTCAAAGCTCATGAATCTTCTGGTGATGCCTGCTTCAGTGACTTCCCAGGGTCAGAGCCGTGAATCATGAGCTGGTGACGTTTGGGACATTGCTGCTGTCAGAGGCCAAAGGATGGACGCCTGTTTGTAAACATGTGTGTGGCTCTGTGAGGAGAGGAGAGAGAGACCATACACTTTGAGCCAAGTTTAATACATTTATTTGTATAGCACAGTTTGTACACAAGGCAACTCCAAGTGCTTAACAAAACATGATACACTCACACAAGGCATAAATAATCACTGTGCGTTAAAGAATGTGAATATACAATACTTCAGATTGATTTGAACATTTTCAGAAAAACCTCTGAGAGGTGCGTCCCCATGTTTAGTCCTGACTCTGGGCACCAGCTGGAGGCCTGTCCCTGTGCTCCTCATAGTCCCTGCAGGAGGCACTAACACTATCATGTCTCAGATGTACTTTGGTGCAAGGCCATGGAAGGACTTGTAACAAGCAGAGCAGCTTTAAAGTCTATTCTTTAAGCCACAAGAAGCCAGTGCAGAGACCTGAGAACTGGACTAATGCGATGGCACCTCCTACTTTTGTATTGTAATTGGTAAATGCACAGAATATCAGCGTGCCTTAAGAGAGACTCCGGGATCAATAGAAATGTCTTGTCTGGGTTTCTGCTCCAGAGGGATTCCCAGACTTTTTTTTTCCCACTGCATCATTCTCCTGTCAAAAGACTAACTGTAATGTAATTTTCTTTGTGTAACGACGCCCTGTGTTCCTGCTGCTTTGATATTTGTTGTTGCAAAGTTTGTTTCAAGATTAGATTACCACTGCAAAACATCTACGTTTTGGCTCAAACTACAAAGTAAACAATTTGCAGTTGAATATTTTGGAAAAGAAAACATAAACCATTCACTTCATCGGCTTCTTGTGTGTGTACTCAATAGGACATGGATGTCAGAAGGTTATTGTGGCTCCAGAAATGGTTTGTAATTATTATTATTATTATTATTATTATTACATGCAGTTACAGAAGTCACCAAAGGCCACTGATTTAATGAAAGAAACTTAAAATCCCTAAAGTATTGTACTTCAATTATCTATTAATCTATTCAACTCAATTTATTTTTGTATTGCCCTAAATCACAACAGTACTTATCTCAGAAAACTTTACAAAGTTGTCAATTAGCCAACATAGATCAGAGAATCAAAGCTATTGGTTCATAAGGGGCAGATGACCAATGTCCATAAATGTTGTTGAATATCCTGGATCATCACCACTGTCCTTAGACCCTTCTGCATCGACGAAGAATAACTAAAGAAAAAAACAGTGGGGGAAAAACATCTCGATCTTTGTTAACTTCTCGAATGCAGCCAACAAGGAGAGTGTGTTTGTGTTATGAATTGCCCTGCTGATGAAATGTGCGACTCTGCGAAACTCAAGAGGCCAAGCAGAGGTTATTCAGCTCATTGAGGTTTTTTAGATCTAGATCATTGATATTCTGGTAGACACAGCCACGTATCAGCTGCAATCAAAGAATGTTTTTGCCCTAGATGTCACTATACTTCGCCTCATTCATCCTTTCTTAAACATGGAAATGATTGATTTGATCGATATCTTTTTCATATTATAGTATGTAATATGAAATTGAAAATGCATACTTTTATACAGTGTATGTCTCTTTGAGATAAGGTTCAATTTTGTTGTCCCCTCAGGTAAATTTGTCTTAAGCTCACAGCTGTTGGACACAAACACTCAAGCACTTTAATGTCCTTGGACTTGATTTCACTGCAAAAAGTTTTGGAAAAACAAGTCAAAATGTTCTTTTTTTGCTAAATGTATCTTAATTTGAGCACATTTTGACTCCTTTCAAAGAAGATTTATCAATGGAACAAAGCAAAACGATACAAGAAATGTCTCCCTTAGAATGAGAAATTAAAGCAACAGTTCTTGAAATTAGAATAAATGGCTTTGTCCCATTGGAAAATCTTGTTTTACTTGAATTAAGATTTAAGCAAACATTAACTCATGTTAGATCCATTTTTGCAGTGTTGAACCTGTTTTTGTTGAGTGTCAATTGTTTTCTGCACTTTTTTAGCTTGTTTTATTCCTGTTCTTTTTACCTAGTTTTGCAAATGTTTTCCTAAGTGGTCTTACTGTAAATGCCGAATAAATGAATCTGAATCTGAACACAAGATTATGCCACAATATTGCACAGTCCCATCAATGCAAGGATACATATCAATATTCAGTAAAAGACCACAATTAAAAACAGTATTTAGACAATAAGACATTTTAACCACGTTCTCTTCCTGACAGAATCCACCGGAATGGGAGACGAGATGCACTTTACAAAGAAAACCTGCTGCTAAGAGGCTGCACCATCCGTAACACTGAAGAGGCCGTGGGGATCGTCATCTACGCAGGTACAGGCACAATTCCCAATAATTACTTTTCCTTCAACGATAATACATGGGACAGTAAACCGTATGAGGGGCCTCTGTATATCCTATGGACATTTTATCTGTAAAATTGTGAAGAAGTTTGCTTATTTTTTACAGAAAGATAACATTTTTGTCTTTTTGCTATGTTGTATTTGTGTAAATTTAATATTTTGGTGCTCTTACTACACTGCAAAAAGTGATGAAAAATTTGTCAAAAATTGCTCATAAGACACATCATCAAGACATTTCTGTAGTGCTTGGATGGAATCTAAATTTACCTTCAAAGGCAGATCAATTTGAACATCATCAGCGAAGCAGTGGAATGAAATGTTAAGCCTTTTGAAAATGGAGCCTAAGGGCAACATGTACAGAAGGTTTGGTCCCTCAGGGTTCAGAAGGCTCGGTTCTCAGGGTATTATTCAATAAGTCAAATCGTCATTATTTTATTTCTCTATTGCAATATATCATGCATGTGACAAAACTGCGTCTTTATTGTCTATTCAGCCTTCTGTGGTCTGACCCTGCGTGCGTGTGTGTGTGTGTTCAGGCCACGAGACCAAAGCCATGCTCAACAACAACGGGCCGCGGTACAAACGCAGCAAACTGGAACGACAGATGAACGTGGACGTGTTCTGGTGCGTCATCATCCTCCTCGTCATGTGCCTGTTCGTTGCTGTGGGTAAGTGCTGTCTGGGCGGAGGCAACAAAATCCGACAACAACGGGGGAAGGTTAGACAGTTAGCAGTTTTATATTTTGATCAGAGAATCATACGGTTCGAACACAGGAAATGCAATGATAACAAACACATACTGTAGAAGCTATTTGTCCATAGTCTCGCCATCCGTCCCGATCCTATATTGGTATGTGTCTATCTTTTTCCGCAAAGTTCAAGTCCTGATCTGCAGCTAGTATAACGCTAGCAGATAAGAAAACAAACTTTTATTTTAATCTGTTAAAAAATTTGAAACTTTTTTACAAATAGTAAAACATGTAATCATTGGATTATCAAGTATAGGGTCAATCCAAAAAGTAACTGAACTGAAAAATAATCTACCAAAATATAATATCCAAAGTCATGTTAAATAGAAGTAATTATTTTGTCATAATACATATCCTAAGCCTAATACAAAAGAATGATCTATTAATGTAAATAAACTACTTAAAAATACAACCAAACTTTCACCTTCCAGACCAAAATTAGTTTGATAACAAACACATACTGTAGGAGGTACATAGGGAGCGGAAGGACCGATGTCCAGAAATGTAAACAGACATCCATAAATGTCCCCCATATATTGGTATATGTATTTATTTTTGGCCTGTCACAGTCAAGTGTGTCTGCAGCTAATGTAACGCTAACCCGAGAGCAGCTTCAACAAATAACAACTCAAAACATTATTAATTAGACGAGGGCTCTAAAGAACAATTATTCTGATTAAATTAGGCGAGCTCAAAGGACAGTGATTATTGATGCCACTTCACACATCTTCTCTAAAACATGTGAAACAAAATTGGTCGTTTGATTGAAATTTATTGTACATATTTCCATAACATGTATCTCTGTATGGTTCAAAAGCGATTCATCGTTTACTAAAGTTTGCCGACAAATACTTTCCGACGTTGTTTGTCTTCCAATTAATCACACTAAATCTAAAATAGATCTAAAATGTAAGAAATCTTAAATTCTAGGTATTTGGTTCTTCTATAGCAGACAATCTTTGAAGGTTTATTTGGTTACAAACAAATCGAAATATATGTCTATTTTGTTGCAAATAAGGAAGGTAACCAGAAAAGGTGTAGGCTTATAATGCCTACCCTATTAACAAAACATCTACCCAACTATCCACCACAATTGTAAGTTAGCAATGTTATTACCTTGACATGTTTCTACGGTAATAACACTATCGCTAACTTACTATTGTCTGGTATAGAAAAGCCTTTTATTTCTATTAAGAAGACAAGATGAACCATCTTCAACGATTAAAAGTATCTATAGAGTAGTTATGAAGCTATAATTGTATTTGGTTCAAGGAGAAGTCACCAGTGGAGTGTATTCTGTAGTCAGCAGCATCATGAGGTATTTACACATGTTTATATTGTACTTCAGCAGCAGAGAAAATGACCACACCAAACAATAATAATAATAGCAGCAGGTAAAGTGACTAGTGAATTATCAGAAGAATGAAATATGCAATAATGTAGTAATAATATCAAAGGTGAGTTGACTAGCGACTAGTAAAGTGACGAGATACTCAGAGCAGGTGAATATTCTGGCAAGACCATTCACCCACACTGCCTAGAATGATTCTGGTGTGTGTGTGTGTTGTGTGTTTGTGTGTATGGCTGTTGGTGGCACATACTGGTTGCCTCGCTTCGTTCAGCTTGCCCCAGGGCATCTGTGGCTACACTAGTAGTTTATCACCACCTTTTATGGAGTGAAAGAATAATGACACGTGAAGCATCTTTTGGTGTCATGAAAAGTACTATATAAAAACCAATGCATTATTCTCCTATCTTTTTATTGTATATCCTCTGTGAGCTATACGTCCTTATACTGTGTCTTCATTCTGTTCTCGTACAAGTCCTGACCTCGTCCTTGTGTTTCGACAGGACATGGGCTGTGGATGTTCCAGTACGGCGATAAGAGACCAGTGTTTGACGTTTTGAGTCCAGAGGGAACCAACTTATCACCCGTAATGTCCGCCCTATATCTCTTCCTCACCATGATCATCGTCTTTCAGGTTCGAAACTAAAGAAAAGGTCCACAAACAAAAGCAGCGGTGACTGAAATTAATGGGGATATAAAACGGCTGTAGAGGTTTTTTATCATACTGGGAAGTCTTTGCCTTATCGTCGGCCCTGTGGGTGAGTTTGACCTCTAGATGCTCTGCTTTAAAGCCGCAGTGCATTCATACTGCTCTGGATGCACTATCTCAGCAATACGCCTCAGAAATCTCTTTTTCATTGTGAAGTAGAACCTTTGACAGTTATTGATTGCTACTTTGGGCTTAAAAATGTCATTTCTTGAAGTGCTGTACTGGGAAAGAGATTTATGAGCTGCTCTGAACTAGAAGAAACTAGCATTACCCCTGATGCTATAACGCATTGGTTTCGAAACTTTTTAGGTCAGACTTGTCCAGGGGCGGACAACTCAGATTTTAAAACTGTTTTGACTGGATTCATTTTGTTCTTGGCTTTAAAATGGTTATGATATATCCACATTGATTCACACCACAGCTGCATTAGCGCCATGGATCTTAAATTATATTGTATTATTCTTAAATGCATGGACAGCACGGTGGCACAGTGGTTACCGCTTGTGTTTCACAGCAAGAAAGTCCTGGGTTTGGATCAACCTCCAGGCCTTTCTGTGTGGAGTTTGCATATTCTCCCTATGCCTGCCTAGGTTTCCTCCAGGTGCTCCAGTTTCCCTTACCACTAAAAACATGAACAATTGGTCTCCTGTACGACGACCCGACTTCCATCTCTGTGGAGTGAGAGAAAAATGCCCACAACAATTGTAAAGCGCTTTGTGACTCTGGTCTGTGATAGGCCCTATATAAATACATATTTCTCACTTACTTACTTACTTATGTTTTTAAGTTAACTGAAGTTACACATATTCTAAAGAGAGATAGGTTTTGAATGCAAGCACCTTTTAGACTCGACACTGTTCATCTTCTCAGCTTCTTGAATGGACCAAATGTATTATTTAATTAACAGATGAGCTCTCTCCCCATTGGTCCACATGGTGCTGGTTATGCTTAGAGAGGAGCTACATTAAATATCAATCAATCAATCTTTTTATTTCGAACTTCGTTGTCAATCCATCGTCATGGCAGTTCCTAATACATAAAAAAAGCTTTTTTCACTCTGTACTTCTATTCTCGTTTGAAAACAAATAACAAAACAATAAAAAAAAATATATATGAGAAGCAATACAAAAAAATATATATATACAAAAAAAATGACAAGAAAGCTTGAAAGGGAGTGGGAAGAAGTAAACACTTTTAAATCCCACCCCCAATGCATAAATGTTTGGTGGTTGCTTAATGTGCAGTAAATAAACCCTTGTGATCATCAATATATTTACAATTCTAATAACTCATAGATTACAATTCAGAAACTTATACTCAGTTGTTCATGTACAGACTCAAGATTATGTTTTGCACATTTCAACACTCATCAATAAAATACAGGTACTACATGACTTAGTGGAGAATCATTATAGAATGCAAACCTTAACTCCGTGACATATATGACTATAGTAAGGATTTTTTCTGTGTACTGTACTGTTGTCAAAGTTTTTCTTTATATTTGTCTTTAAAAAGGTAAATGGTAGGATATTGTTTTAAATTCCAATCCAAACTATTCCACAGTCGCACTCCACGCACTGAGACACACATACTTCTCGTGGTTCTTACAGCATTTGGTATAAGTAACCAAATACAATATTTAAAACATACTTCACATTATAGTACAGGGCAGTGAAAATGAATTCAAATACACTATTAAGTGGTTGTTTTCACCTATATTTTACTACATATTTGTAAATTAAGTGTACCATTCTTCAGGTTTTATTATTTGTCTTGGGGCGGCCGTTAAAACTAGTTTATGGAGCTGTCTGTTCCAGTATGAACTCACGAAATGGGCCACCTCACTGTTATTGATCGTGGCTTTGGGCTTAGCAGTGTCAGATCCAGTGTCACCTTGTCCTGTGTCACAAATGGAGTGAATGCCCCTAAATAAAGCTGGTTATGGAGTGGTGACTTTGGTCTTATACAAACAGTAGCATTGACCCTAATGGTTCTGTAAACACACACATATCACTGCACTGGGGTAGGCACGCACAAGGCTGAAGCAGTGAGTCATCTCTCTAGAAGTCTGAAATGTTTCATGGAATAATTCTCTCATTCCCTCCATATAAATACATGTATTATTTTTTAGTGCTTATTGGAAAGTTGTATTCACAAAGGCCTAAAAATCCACTTTATACTTCCTTATACAGAGCCATCTCCAATCTTCTGCTTATGTTAGTAAAATAAATATGTTTTTTAATTGTTTATCAACAAGACTAAGTTTTAAACTGCTTGAGAGTGGGCGATATAGTCTAAACTGAATGTCTTGATGTATTTTTAGGTCACAATATTCAGACAATAACACAACAGTTGTATCTTGTTGTGTTAAGCACTTGTTGCATTGTGTATGAACCGTGCTATACAAATAAACTTGCCTTGCCTTGCCTTCTCCATTCTAAAATCCGAAATGCCAAAGTGAAGGGTCTCATTAACATGTGTAAGAGCACACAGTTCCTGTAAAGGCCTGTGTATACTTGAGCGTCACTGTGTGTGTTGGCGTTTGCACTGGACCCATGGTTGATTACGCAGCCACAGTTGTTGGTATACTAGAGCGTAAACCCCATTAAGAAAATGCATATAAATGTTTGGTGCGATATGCAAACAAAACCCTAGTCCACAGACGCTCGTGAGCCATGAGCCCAAACTGCTTTTCCTTTGGTACCTTGTCCATGACCAACCCTCAATTGTTCCATGCTTCCATCCAAAAGGGCCAATCCCAGTGGACCTTCTCTGCGCTACCGGCTGCATCATTAGAAAAATCAGAGGGTGCATGGGTAGTAGTGCAAGGGGTCCTTGCAGTCTTGCCGTGGTCCTTACGTTGGTCATGTGACATCTGGTGACGTCACGAGGCCACAGCAAGCTCAAGTATACATAGGCTCTAAGTGTCATTTATTATTAAACACATCTTTAACAATAACCAAAATAGTATTTTTTAATATATACCTAGTGACATTTTCACGACCCTGTTTGTGTTTCCTAATTTGTGGTCGTACCTGCATGTGTGAAAGCCAGATCCATCAGACCTCTGAAGCTACTAAGCAGGGCAGTACTCTGATGGGAGACCTCTGGGAACACAAGGTGCCACTGTGGGGCATCTGCAGCTGTGAAGTACCAAACTGTGTGTGTGTATGCATGTGCGCATGCGTGTGCGTGTGCGGTTGGTGGTGGTGGGAGTGGTTGATGGCACAGACTGGTTGCCTCCCTTCTGTCAGTGTGCCCCAGGGAGGCTGTGGCTACAGTTGTAGTGTTTCACCACTGTGTTTGGAGTGAAAGAATAATGACCTGTGAAGCATCTTTGAGTGTCCAAAAAGGGATATGTAATACAAATGCATTATTATTAGTATTGTTTATTTGACTTTCATTGACCAAAAGCTTGTAATCTGTTGTGGAGTAAAACAAACCACTCTCAATTCATTCACACACATTGACTTCCTCGTTTTGCTCGAGCCAGCCCAAGCTCCAATCTTCGAGCACTTGAACCTCTCTCCTTTGCTCTGTTAGCGAGTGCCTGTTTGATGAATGAGAAATCCACTCTCCTCTCTATCCCCCTGTGTCCTCTGCAGGTGCTGATTCCCATCTCGCTCTTTGTGTCCATTGAGATTGTGAAGATTTGCCAAGTTTACTTCATCCACAACGACCAGGAGTTGTACGACGAGGAGACCGACTCCCATCTGCAGTGCCGGGCCTTGAACATCACAGAGGACCTGGGTCAAATGCAGTACGTGTTCTCTGATAAGACCGGGACTCTCACCGAGAACAAGATGGTGTTTCGCCGCTGCACTGTGGCCGGGGTGGAGTATTCGCACGACGCAAATGGTGAGAGAATACTGATCAGTTTCTAAAAGCGATGATGCTTTGTGTGGTGTTTTGCTTTACAGGGTTCCCATGTTAGATCGCGGTTCACCTTTCGAGGCCTTGGTGTTTTGCAGATCTTTTGTGGACAATATTGTGTGCCTTTATTACCGAGAGCCTCATATGCCCCGCCTGTATACTCCAACAACATCATGTAACCGCTCGTAAAACAAGACAGTTATCTTTATTTCAGGTCTGAAGAAAACATTTGTGGCTTCTGTGATTAGTTCAGAGGACTCCGATTTTTCTATCTGGTCTCGATATCGAGGTCACTTTCTGAAGCCCTCAGTCCTGCCCTTTTCTTGTCTCTCTCTCTCTGATGTCTCTCTCTGATGTCTCTCTCTGGTCTCTTTCTATTGTCCCTGGGCTTTCTCTCTCAGGTCTATCCCCCTGGTGTCTCTGGGTTCTCTTTCTCTGGTCTCTCTCTCTGGTGTCACTGGTCTCTCTCTCTGGTCTTCGTGTAGCCCTCAATCCTGCCCCTCAGTGTCCTCTGCAGCTGTATTTTACAGTGCATGGACGGCTTTTGACAGCTGCTGTAGCGCTCAGACCTACAACCAGCAGGTTTGATACCTTTAGTCCCTCTCTTTGGTCTCTCTCACTTGAGCAGTTGTGATTTCAGGTGGTTGGAAAAGTGTGTGTGAGGGCTTTTACAGCCTAAAACATACAGCTTATTATTAGTAGTAGTAGGCCGGGCTGTGGTCTCTGGAGAAGTGAGTCCCATGTGTGAGGAAAGGTGATGGCCCCCTTGTCTCTGTAAATGGTCCGTGTGCTGTGTTTGTTATAGACTAAAATGGGTCTACTTACTTTCCACTCGCTAAAGCCTGAAAGCAAATGATAGTTTTTCACATTATACCATACCAAATCATTATTTCAAACATAAAATCTTTCACTATTTTTACCAAAACCGTAGTTGATTGAGTAATAGCTTTTAGATGAATCATGTTTCTTATTCACAACCATCTAACACTTCCAAAAAATTGCAGAGTCCATTTGTGAGCTCCTACAAAAGCCCTTTAAATTTATTTCTGTGTCAGTGTGTAATTCTGAGTGTCTGTCATGGTGGAGCATAAAACACCAACCCACATTCTCTATTGTGGTCAGTGAAGGAAAAGTAAGTGTCACCACTTTTGGGGCGAGATCACCAGTTACAGCTGAATCACAGCTGCCATTATACAACCACAGGATATTTCTGTTTTCTTTATTAACTCTACTTAAAGGTATACACTGGGTAGTTTTTACTCCCATCAAGCGTTGAGATCATATATTGCAGTCCAGGATACTACGGAAGCCTTTGATGGACAATATGTCGTCTCTGACAGTGCTCCCCAACTCGAGCGGCACAGAGGCTACAGTCTATGGTTTTACCATGGCTCTTTCATAATATATAGCGTTGTGAAGGGAATAGACGCATGGAGGATTAACGTCTGCGGGAGCTTAAAACCACAATGACCAGTGAAGCAAGACATATACACAGCCACTGCAGGACATGGCTAAAAATTCAGATTATTACTATTAGCGTCAGCCACAGCACCATCTGCATCACGGTAAGAAAACCGAACATTCACTCACATTATGGCAATTCTTTTGTGGGGATTCTGTGTGTTTTGCATATTTGAGGCTGGTCCCTGAATAAGTTAAGTTGAAACTACGTTCTCATTGCTGTCAGTGTGAAGAAAGTTACGTATTGTTGACCTGTGAGTCTGTTGTGTACAAACTACACAATGTGCCTCCTGTTGTTTTAACTCTGCCTTTCGGTGCGTGTGGTTTGCAATGTTGACAGTTTGCTGTTATGACGTCGGTTTCTAGAATTTTGCATAATTATTTTTCTTGTAAGTGTGATCCTCCATAATCCCTTCTTCAAACTTGTGAGGGAACGGTGAAAGCACAATATTAGTAGCCCCTGTGAAACAAAAACGCGAATCTCGCAACCAATGTATTTCAAGATGGCGCATTGACATGGAAATTCCTCAGCTCTCATGTACATTTATAAGTCAAATTCTAAGCATATGAAAACAATTCAGAATCATGGTGGAGGTAAATACTCAGTTGCTCCATGTTTTTTCATGGACTAAAAATTACACGGTGCACCTTTAATATCTTCAGCAGAGATCTCAAACAGTGGTCAAGATTGAGACATTTTATTTTATCTCCTGTAATGTAAAAGTCCCCTGGGGACTTGTGTTGAAAACTAGCAAAGTCTTTACAATATCTATTCAATGCAGTCCCTCCTTTTTCCATATTCAAATGTTTCAAACTTTTTGACGTGTGCAACAATATTGGCCTAAACTCAATATGAATAGTTTAATTGATTTTGTGCTTAAAGCTGCATAATGAGATGGCCCAGTCTTCTCAAAGTCCATTGGATTTTTACATAATTTTGACATTGAAAAATGACTAAGTAACTTTTATGACCTCGTATCACATTTATTGAGTTTTCTCACGGTGGTAGAAAAACAAAGAATTTTCCCTCCAATGTTGGACATAAAAAATATTCTAAAGCATGTGTATTATTTAACCTAAATGGTTTCGGGGTTAAATTTCATAAATGTACATTTCACATAAGATGTCACCTTAGCACTGTCACATATGTTTATCGACAATGCATTGATACAGAATTCCATCAAATGTTTTTCTTGTATAGACTTAAATCACAACAGCAGTCGTCTTGGAGGACTTTACAAAGTTGTAGATTCGCCAACAATCAATCAAAGAATCAAATAGTTGGAACACAGAAATGCAATAATAACAAACACATAGGGAGCAGGATGACCAATGTTTATTAATGTCTTTAATTAAATGTACAGAAATATTTTTGCATCATCAGGCAACCCCAATCCACCCCTCTTGCATGGACTTGTTATTTTGGTTTTATCAATCATCTCACATCAACAATAATGTAGACAAATGTTAATACGATCTTGTCCCGGTGTCATAGGGCGACACGGTGGCACAGTGGTTTGCACTTGTGCTTCACAGCAAGAAGGTCCTGGGTTTGATTCCACCTCCAAACAGTACCTTTCTCCCCATGTCTGAATGATGGGTAAACAATTGGTCATAAACTATGGACCATAAACAATCTTTTTCTACTTAATTTCTTGTATTTGAACTGTTTGATTCTCTGATCTGTGTTGGCAAATTCAACGGTTGTGTAAAGTCCTCAGAGTAAACTACTGTTGTGATTTAGGGCTTAATAAGAATAGACTGAACTAAAAATCAAATAAACTATCAATGAGTTGATAAAAAAGTGACTATAAATATTAACTATGAGTTCTGTCCTACCAAAAAACATTGAAAAGAATCTTGTCACGCTTCGTAAGCCTCTGTTAATTCATTTGGCTTTTGTGTGTTGACAGCGCGGAGACTGGCCATGTACCAGGAGGTGGACTCTGAGGAGGAGGAGTGCTTGTCTCATGGCGGGACCCTGCCGAGGCGCGACAGTGTGACCAGCCACCACAGTGCACGCGTCGTCCTGCGCTCGCAGAGCACCAAGTCTCACCGTAGGACGGGCAGTCGCGCCGAGGCCAAGCGTGCAAGCATCCTGTCCAAGCACACCGCCTTCAGCAGCCCCATGGTCAGTGGAGAGACTGTCGTACTTCCAGGACTATACGCCGCACCTGCAAATCAGCCACACTAGCATTATTTTAAAAGAAAGTACATGTTGTCCCCATATTAGCCGCACTTGAATATAAGCCGCAGGTTTTCATGCTGTAATGTAGCAGAGAGACGGCTGTTTTACCATTGGCTCCCTTCACTCATTCACCCTTAGCTTCCACGACTCATTCACCTCCTCTATTTTGACATAAAACAAGTATAACATCTCTAGCTTTAGCATGATAAAGAAGTAACTATAAAATATTGTGTATTTTAGTGCAAGAAATATATTGTTGTATGTATACATCTGTACATGTTGGTAGCATGAGCAACACTGATGGGAACACTGAAAGAAACAATTGTATTATTAAAATTCTGAAATGGCTGAACAATAGGCAAGGCATGTCTTTCAAGTATTTTATAGCACAATTCATACACAGAAAATCTCAACACACGTCTGTCTTTTAGGAGAAAAACATCACCCCGGACCCTCAGCTCCTGGACAAAGTGAACGATTGCAGCAGTCAGATGGACTTCATGCGCTTCCACAGCCAGTCCTTGTCCACGCTGCCCTCTGACCTCTGCGACATCATCGACTTCTTCATCGCTCTTACTGTCTGCAACACTGTGGTGGTGTCGTCCCCCAACCAGCCGCGGCAGAAGGTAACAAGGACATATGGATTTTTCTAAACACCTCTTACACTTTTTACAAGGCACCACAGGCCTTCACATTAAGCTTTTTCAGCCACTTTCTCTTATATTTTACTCGCCCAATGTCAAAAGTTACCTGCCCAAATATTTCTCAATACAGTGAGTTAATAAGAGTTTGACAACTAAGTGGCACTAACTGCGTGGAAAGAAATATTTAAAGAAATCCACTCTCAGCCCAAAAAGTCAAATAATGACTCACAGGGCTCTTAAGTATGCAAAATAAAAAAACTGTTCTGTTTGTCCACAATTTTTCACTTTTGTGCACAACCAACATGCATTGTTAATGCAGGGAAAATGTAGGTACCCTAGCTTTAATCTTGTGAGTTAAGCCTAGCGTACATCGGACTGGCAACTGATTATATCCGTCGCATATGAGTTGCTGCCCCGCACACATCGACAATCTGACGAAAACGGGCAACTCCCAGTAGCAGACCAGTCTCGGGACTGACATAAACTGTTGCGGGCTCGCAATACACGCAATACACACACGTTGTCGGAGCGGCGCATGGAGCGCACACATCGGGTCATATCTCCGAAACTGAGGACAACTAGTTGCCAAAAAGTAGAACACGGGCAACTGACTGAAACTGGAGACCGACTGTTTATCTCCAGTTGTAAGAGCGCGCACATCGACCGTTTTCAGCAACTGATCATCTCCCACCGTCTCCTCTCAGTTGCCAAAAGCCGCCTTGCAACTAGTTGTTCCCAGTTTCTCTGTCGATGTACGCTAGGCTTTATAGTTGCGCTACGGTTGGAAACACGGGGGAGACCCGCACTTGGGGATGTTCCTTAAAGTGCGTCTATGGTCCGCGCTCGGTACATTATGACCACGTTACGGATGTGCAGTTACCCTTCCCTGGCCTGAATGAGTTAAAGTAATACAACTGTGAGCTAAACATCACTTGTCCGAACGGGCAACCCAAATCTTTAGTTGTACCGAGCAAGCGGACAACTGTTAATGTAGAGCCCTGCACCAACTTCACAATTACAGTTCTGTTTTCTTCCTGCCCTTGTAAACATTGACCTCATCCCATTTAAGCCGCTTGAGACAAACGGTGGTTCAACTAAAAGAGCAGCTTCTTTTTGTAAAGTCATCCTAAGTCAGCAGCCAAACAGTGGGTCATCTTTGCAAAACAAAACCCGACTCTTGCTGCGTAATGTGCAGTTGCATTGTAGAGATTCCATTTTTGATTTGTGAGAGTTTCATGTTGGAACGAGTGTGGATTTATAGAACACTGAAAAATTTAACAAGAAAAAAACTTCAAGATGACAAGGGACACTAAAATCCCCACAAAATGTCATTTTTCCTGAAAGCTGTAGGTTCTCTGTCAGCTGAGGTCGAGCTGTTTTAGTTTACATTGAGTTCTGTGGGAATTTTTTCTGGGTAGCCCACTTACATTTAGTCTGCAGTACCATGGGCGCCCCCTGTGCCCATTGGTGGGACAGCTATAAGCTAGTAATACCCTATCCAGATATTATTATAGATCCATGGTAGAATCATACCCTACCTTTTTGTGCTAACTACTCAGCCACATTTAATTTATGGTTTGAAAATGAGGTACCCCAGCTTTAGTGTCCTAAAAAATCAGTGCATATAATAGTATACACTCCATCGTCAATGTTTGTACGTTTTCTTTGTATTCTTAAAAGGATCATCTCATGAATAAAACAATTGTATAACACTGAGCTGAATTTTCTCCAAACATTTGTGCTCCAAGTTATTGTTTCTCTTCTTTTGAACTCTTCAGGAGCAGTTCCCGTCATAGATTCACTTTGATTTACTTTGGCTTCAAAAACTGCTAAAATGGTCCAAATTTCTCCTGCTGGTGCACGTACTGCTTTTGTGTGTAATGTTTGAAGTTCCACTCGCTTTTCCTCTCGATATCAGTGTTTTGTTTTGGGACCTGGGTGTGAACTGCCCTGTTGTAAAGTTCTTTTTTTCCCCCAATTGTATTCCTGTATAGCCCCAAATCGCAACAGTGGTTATCTCGGAGGACTTTACAAAACCGTTGAATTCCCCAACACAGATCACAAAATAAAACGGTTTGAAACCCAATTTGAAGCCACACTTAAAATGATGGCTGAGTGGTTAGCATTCTTGCTTCTCTGCAAGAAGGTATTGGTTTTCATTCCACATCCAGACAAGGCCTTTCTGAGTGGTGATTGAACATTGTCCTTGTGTCTGTATAGGTTTAATGCAATTTATTTTTGTCAACAGTAGTTATCTCCGAGAACTTTACAAAACCAGGACGGCGCTTCTTATACTCCCGGCCCGAGCTGCAAAATATGAAAACAATCTTCCAAAACATTATAAAACCCAAAAATACCAGGACGAAAAAAGATAAGACACAAAACCCACGGGGAAAAAGGTGCCCAAATATAACAAACACAAAAAAGGCATTGATTAAATAACGCACACAGTTATTGGTCCATAAGGGGCAGATGAGCAATGTCCATAAATGTTGTTGAATGTCAAGTGTCCTGGATCATCACCACTGTCCTTAGACCCTCCTGCATCAGCAAAGAACAGCAAAATCAATATCTGGTATATTTGCAGTGCTGTAACCCGTGAGATAAAATGAACAGGAATTGAAATGTCGACACTTGTGTATTTTTTATATTTGTGTCCTGTGTGTTGTGTTTGGAGTTACGGTCACACACATTTTAAAGGTGCCCTTGTGGAGGCCATAAAACCGGGAGTGAATTAAAGCCGCGTGTGAGCAGCTCCTGCACTGGGCGGATGTGGCAAATGCAAGTGCTTTGTATTGTGTTGTGCCATTCTGTATTTAATTGTTTGGATCTGGGACAAAAGGGTACTCAAGCAACTTCACGGGACTGCCATTGTTTATGACCAGTTGACCGATCCAATTGGTGATAATTCAATTTTTATAACTGTTCACTGCGCTGTATAGACCCTAAAAAACTCGCAACTAGACTAGATGGGGCAAGGCATGGCTAGTTTATTTGTATAGCACAGTACATACACAAGTTAATTCAAAATGCTGTATAGATCATGAGAAAAACAATCACACAAGGCATTAAAATCATAAATAACCATAATAATCTACTAATATTTTTAAATTTCTCTTACTGAGCAATTCAATCTCTTTATCATAAACCATTTCGTTAACCTTGTGTGTTTTGAAAAAAAGTTGTGGGTCAATTAGGCTTATTTGCTTAAAACTGGGACTACCTATCTTTAAAATAATTAAAGATACAGATTTTCCCGATAGAGATTAATAATGATTCTTGTAAACAGATCAGAACACAGAACATACTACACTGTCTACGTCAGAGGTCGTTAAACGGCGGACCTCGGTCCGGATCCGGACCCCCAACCCATCGGATCCGGACCCCCAACCCATCCGATCCGGGCCCAAACCTGCTTTAAAAATATTAATAATAATAATGCAGGCTTTCCAACCGCGTCTATTCTAACTTCATTTTGCGCCGCTCCTTCTGGTGTTGGTGAGGGCCGACCGGGCGGGGCGTCCCTTCAGCCAGGGGCCACACGTGATTCGGTCAGCCAATGAACTGTGTGGCGCGTAGTGCTGCTGCCAGTGCTAGCTATTTTTAAACACCGGCAAGTCAGAGAGAAGCAGGCAGCGAAACAGGGAAGACGGAGAGTGATCAGCAGCGCGAACACGCGAGAGAAAAGTGAAATGGCGTGCTCAAAACAGAGGAAGGTAGACGCGGAAAACAGAGTTTTTAAACAAGAATGGACTGACACGTACTTGTTCGTTTTACCTGCTGACAGCGCAAAACCCGTGTGTCTCATTTGCTCCGAGACTGTCGCTCTCATCAAAAGCAGCAATATAAAGCGGCACTATGAGACGAAGCACTCCACGTTTTCCCACACATATCCCCCGAGCTCAGCCATACGGTCGCAGAAAATAGCCGATTTAAAGGCACAATATGCTCGGTCCTCCAGGATTATGGTCAAAACATTCACTGCTCAGCAACGCGCTAATGAGTGTTCTCTGAGAATTGCGTGGATATTGGGTCAACACAAAAAGTCATTCAGCGATGCAATGGTTGTCAAAGAATGTATGAGTGCAGTTACTGAGACATTACTTGATGGAAAGCAAAAAGAAGAGCTCTGTCAAAAAATACAGCAAATTCCTCTGTCAGCTTCATCAGCCACACATAAAACACAAATTGTAACACGTGATGTACTGGCACAGCTTGATGAAGCGATTAAAAAGGCAGAATGCATAGGTTTGGCTGTAGATGAGTCCACTGATAGAACTGACAATGCCCAGCTTGTAGTTTTTGTAAGATTTTTTAACAAAGAGGAAAAGAAAATGTTTGAGGACCTGTTAGGAGTAGCAACCCTGGAGAGCAACACAAGAGGAGAAGACATCTACAAAGCAATAAAGAAGATGTTAACAGAAAGGGGAATAGATGTGAGACAAGTTGTTTCAATAACAACAGATGGAGCTCCAGCCATGTTAGGGAGAGAAAGGGGAGCTGTGGCAAGAATGAGAGAAGACCACCCTGGACTTATCTCTTACCATTGCATAATACACCAATCAGTCCTATGTGCCATACTTTCAGATCAGTATGCAGATGTGATGAGCACAATGATGAAAATGATTAACTTTCTCCGGGCATCTTCTTCTCTGCAACATCGTCTCCTCAGAGAGTTCCTCAAAGAAGTTGAAGCAAATGCAGATGACCTCCTGCTCCACAATAATGTTAGATGGCTCAGTAAAGGCAGAGTGTTGGAGCGCTTTTGGTCCATTAGAAAAGAAATCGAAAGTTTCTTGGGACAACTTAAGAGCCAAAAGGCAACGCCATTTCTTTTGTTTCTGAGGGATATGGAGAAGATGGATCATGTAGCATTCTTGGTTGATATCACATCACACCTGAATCAACTGAATTTAAAACTACAAGGCAAGGACCATTCAGTCTGTGATCTGATGACAGATGTCCATGCATTCCAGAGAAAGCTGGAGCTGTTTAAAGGAGACCTGCAGGGAGACTGCACACACTTCCCTGCTGTCAAGGAACAAATCAGGGGTGACAAGTCCAGTTTTGTTGATTTTGTGGAAAAACTGTTTACCAATTTTGGGAAGCGTTTTGACAGTTTCACTCTGGGAGAACAGCTCAGTTTGTTTTTTCAGAATCCATTCCTTATCACTGACATCAGAGGATTTTCAAAGGAAGCAAGTGACACTTTCAGCTGGGCAAATGCAGGAGCTCTTCAGCTGGAACTTGCAGATCTTCAGTCCAATGTTGTACTAAAAGGGCAAATTGGAGGAAGTGATGCTGCATCTTTCTGGATCCAAATAGTCTCAGAGACAGCGTTCCCAACTCTGAAAAAGGCTGCCCTGCACATTTTGAGTATGTTTGGCTCAACCTACTGCTGTGAAGCAGCATTCTCCACGATGAATGTGATCAAAAATAAATATCGTTCCAGGCTCACCAATGAACATCTTGACATGTGCTTGAGAATGGCTTTGTCATCTTTCAATCCCAGGTTTAAAATTCTTGCAGGGCAGCAAGTAGCCCACTTCTCTCATTAGCGACTAAATACAATCAGTTCAGGTGTTTTATAAAAGGTGTATTTTTTTAGTTGTCAAATTCACCGACTTGGAAAGTATTTTTGCTTTTCTATGTTGCAACAAGCACTTTATTTTAGAGTTCTATTTTGATACTAAAAATGTTATTTTCTTTCATATTTATTATTTGAAGCACTTTTCAAATACCAACATTTTTGGTGGTATTGATGTAAATGTTTGAAATTATATGATTATTAAAAAAACAAAAACATTCCGGACCTTCAATGGTTGTTGCTGTTTTTTTTGACCCAACTGACTTTTAATTGGTGACCCCTGGTCTACGTCTTATTAGAAATCATGTCTTATGCATAATTGTAAGATGATTCCTGAGAGGCCAAAAGAATACATGCATCTGAAACTCTTTTGATACTATTCTACAGTATACTAAACTGTTTTGAGAGAGATAGAAACTGGTTAGATGGATTTTGTTACATTATTTTGTTATTTGAAAGTACCACAGGTTTAAAAAAAGACACTTGAACGACATTGGGCGATATGAATCTGTTAGTGACATCGGTAGTTTACGACCACCGTATTAGGAATGTTAGAAATCATTGTTTTTTTCTTTTTCGAGCTCAACCATGATTGTCATTGTGTTTGTCTCAGGTGCGGGTGCGTTTCGAGCTCAAGTCTCCTGTGAAAACCATCGAGGACTTCATCAAACGCTTCACTCCGAGCCGCCTCACCTCCAGCTCCAACAACAGCAGCTCCTCCAGCCTCAACCGATCCAACAACCGCGCAAACAACAGCCTGGTCTCCTCCCCCTCCGCCGACAGCACCCTTACCAAGCTGGACGAGGAGAAGACCCCCCCGGACCTCCAGCAGCATGACTTCAGTCCCGTCCCCCCCAGCTACGACCCCAAGGCCTGGAGGCAGGGGGAGGGCGAGCTCAGGTACGAGGCTGAGAGTCCGGACGAGGCCGCGCTGGTCTACGCGGCCAGGGCCTACAAGTGCTCTCTGGTGGGGCGGCTGCCGGACCAGGTGACGGTGGAGCTGCCCCATCTGGGTAAACTTAGCTTCGAGCTGCTGCACACGCTGGGGTTTGATTCGACGCGAAAACGAATGTCTGTGGTGGTTCGACATCCACTGACGGACCAGATCACGGTCTACACCAAAGGAGCCGACTCAGTCATCATGGAGCTCATCAGACCGCCTGATCCAGGTAATTCAATTCAATGTATTTTTGCATTGTAAGATTAAGATTAAGATTAAGAGATCCTTTATTCGTCCCACAGTGGGGAAATTTCAGTGTTAGATCACAAATTACAAGTTAGGCAGCAAGAATGACGAGCACACAGCAGACGATGAATGAATAATAACTCTATACTAAAATAGAATAAAATAAAATCTTTAACTCCAGCATAAAAAGAAGCGGTTTAAAATCTATCTTTAGCATATTATGGAAAGATGTCTTAAAATGTCCAACTTTAGCATGATGAAGAAGCAAAAACCCTACTCCCTCTTTATCAAAGAGAGTTTATTAAAGGCTCAAATTTGTTCTTTGGTTTAAAAACAGACATTTATTTGCTTAGAGGAGAATTGCCAACAGTGACAATAAGGCTGTCAGAACTGAAAGAAACATAAAAACGTATATTATCTCTCTTAAAGGCATTTACACATATAAAATGCATACTTGAGTAAGAAATAAAACTGCAAAAACATTCACAAATACTAAATTGCTTTAGCCTCATCCACATGCACTCATACTACATTCATTCTCGCATTACACAGCTAACCAAAATCTTGTGGACCAAGACAATCGCCTCGTAGCTCATGAAGCAATAAAACAAACCAAAAAAAGAAAGGGGTGTGTCCAGATAACAATTCCCCAAACACAATTCCGCAAACAAAGGTTCCTAGTGTCTAAATGGGCAAACCGTGAAATCAATTCACTTTAAATTGCACTTTTAATTAAGTGTAATATTTGGATAGAATATATGATTTTAAACTTTATATGATTAGTGCAATCGTGAACTTAAATAAATGAGAGTTGCTTCTGCGGCTACACAAGGCTCTGCATTTGTCTAGCACAGTCCATACACAAGGCAAAATATTACTCATTGAACCGTGGATGTTCACAAACGAAAAATAGCAAAAAGTTGAAGACCTGAATGTCCTCATCTACTCCCAGATAGTCAGATGCCTGCAGGCTATTTTTTAACTATGCAGCTGAATTCTTAACATATTTCCATCAAAATAGGAAAACTGTCAAATTTAAAGGCAATAAAAACTGAGCACCAAAATTTATCGACAAGGCAAGGCAAGTTTATTTGTATAGCACAGTTCACACACAAGGCAACTTAAAGTGCTGAACAAAACAAGATGGAAACAATCTCAGTACATTAAAAAGAGTAAAGATACAATCCTTCTAAACAAAACTGTTTTGAACCTGGATTTGCAGAAGCCACATTTTCAGGAAGACTGTTTCAGTTTTAGCTGCATACATCTGACTCCCCATGTTTAGGCAAGTTTATTCGTATAGCACAATTGACATACATCGCATCTCCACACGCTGTAGGACTTGAAATTCACTACAGCACTTTCAAATGACATGAAAATGGATCATAGGCTGTTGGAATTATGAATATAGAAAAAAAATCATATGTGATTAATGGAATTCTGTTTGATGCTGCCTGCTGGCACCAAATGTGTTAGTTTTCCCCCTAAAGGTTCCTCTGACGCAGGAGCCGGAGCTCTTTGGGGGATCAGAGGAAGTTGGCGAGTGCAGACATGGGTCTTATCTCGTAATGGTTAAGATGCAGATAGTACCCACAATGCCCACACTGGGACCGAGGCTCATCCAGGCCAAGGCACCTGCTACATCCACTCTATTTACAACGGCCTTATTTGTCTGTTACTGAGATGTATTTAAAATTAACCAGTCCAGATTTTTTTTTAAACATTTCTTTACAGCGTGTTTGACCGTGTTATTGTATGTGCACTATTGTTTTTCCTTGCCGATGCAGGAGGGTTTAAAGTGATAGTCTGGAACTCTAAATGAATTACACATTTTAAGAATTGTATTAAATTGACCTCCTAGCCTTAAAGATGCAGTAAGCGATTTTGTTAGCTTAGCCGTAGCACCAACTTGAAACCACTCCCCCCTCCCCTCGCCTCTCCATCAAACCAAAACCAAGTGACATCATCTATCATCAGTTGAACATGTGTCATTCTCCTGATGAGCAGAGGAGTCGCGTATTGCGGCTGTGTACACAGCTGCAGAGTCGTGGCTGCTGCTGTCTCTGTGAGGTCTATGGAGAAATGTAGAGGACAGTGCAATGTGTTCACTGACTGTTGATCAGACCGATGGGCTGTGTTTGTATGTTTACTCTGCACTCTGTCCTAATACAGTACAGACATGTTGCAGCAGCCGATACTTTTTGATGGCTCGCGCGTATGTTAGAATTTGGGGCGTTCACGGATAGATCCGTACAAAAAGTATTGACATGGCAGAAAGTGCGGTAGATCAGTAAAATCCACATGTACGTGTTTGTCCTCATGGTACCTGTGGCTGTTGTGGTCAGACGTGAGACTTTATGAACTGCGTGAAGAGGAGAGACCTGTGCACGGCCGTTATGTGTGATGTCAGTTAAAATTACCTTGTGAATGCACTGCCAGATCTCAGAGGTCCTCCGCGATTATCACACAATTCAGTCATGTTTAGAAAATCCAACTCAGGTGCGCGCACTCGCGAGAAACAGGAAGATGGTGAAGGGGGTAAACGCATCCCATTGGTTCGTTGGGGATGAACGAATCCCATTGGTTTATTTTTATTGGTCCGCTCCAAAGTATTATTTGTTCATCTTTGGAGACAATAGGCATCTGGTCAATCTCCCTTACTATTTGAATACACATGGTAACTTGACTACTTTTAGGGTTTAGGGACGTTTTCCCACAATATTTAAAAAACTGCATCTGGAAAAAATCACTGACTGCATCTTTAAATGTTGATATAAAAAAAGTAATTTTATGAATTCTAATATTACGGATAAGTCCCGCCTTCCCTTCTCTTAGCTATAGCTCAGAATCCACAATGCCGTCCACGTTAACCAATCAAGTGATGCCAAGGGCTGTCAATCATTGGCGCTGATGCTCGCAGCTGCACGTATGCTCAGTTGTTTGTTTTCACGGAGCCTCCAAATCAAGCCTCCATTAGGCTCTGGAACTACATGAAAACTGAACAAAGAATTCTGAACATCCGCGCTGAGTTACCAATTTATATACTGAACCTATATCCATAATCAGATCCTCTGCAGATGTGTCCTATAATGTTCAATTAATGTTAATAGCTACTTATGGGTTGACAGCGATCGCTTTTTGTGCATTAAAACATTATTTTTGTCATGAAAACATTAACAAATAATTCTGAAAACCTCTGTGCATGTGTATTAATGATTATGTATAATGTGTTCTCAATCAGAAAGGAAGGGGGAGGGTCCCCTTGGGTCCCCTTGGGTCGTTTTTTTCAAATCATGTTCCTCTTTCTTTTTTCTGACAAACTCCAGACAATCACTTGAAGGACAGTGGGGATGACTTTATCATCATTTATGGACATTAGTCATCTGCCCCTTATTGACCAATTGCTCTATGTGGTTTTTATAATTGCATTTCTTGTGTTTGAACTGTTTGATTCTCTGATTTGTGTTGGCAAATTCAACGGTTTTGTAAAGAATCTCCGCGATAACTACTGTTGTGATTTAGGGCCATACTATTTGACAACCTGCCTTTGGCTCAGAAATAATTAGCTAACTTCATTTCTGGTCAGAGGGAAGCCTTTGATGATTCCACTGTTGTCTCGTAGAAGGGCTAAACCAAACAACAGGACAGAATATGGGAGTGCATGGACTAATTTGAATTTAAAAAAAACATTTATTAGATGCACTGTAAGGTTTCCAATGGAAAAAAAAAATATTGAAAATGTTGAATTATATTTTTTCATTACCAGGAAATGTTATTTATTTCAAAGATCTCATTTCTATGGGTGTTTTTTCCAAGAGGCATTCACAATACATCCATCAGAAACATTTATATAAAGCATTAATACATTCAGAAATATACAAGAAATACTACAATATTGAACAAAGACAGGTTATTGATTGCATTTCCATATCTGGTTTTCCGTCTGTTGGGACGCAATACTGAAAAGTCACTTTAATAATTACTATATATCATCATGTGTGACATTAGAATGTTTTTTAAGTTTTAATTTTAGTAAATCACATGTGGCTAAAATATATTGTAGAAAGCTTGTATTGTAATTCACTTTTGGCTCCGGGAAGGCTTCAGGAAGTCTGGGGGGACTCGTATGTTAAATCAGGCTTTTGAACATGCTAATAAGGAAGGTCCTGTCATTGTTCCTTGCTCTGTTGGTTCTTCCTTTCCTATCTACATATGAAGGTGTGTCTTCTAGTATGAAAGGAGCTACAGACTCTCGGAATTTTTATGTATTTATTTATTTTTATTTAATATTTAATTCAGACACACAAAGGGTCCATATAAAACAAAAGAGACAAAAAACACACAAACATTCAATATTTACAAAACTTCAGATCTGTTCTGATAGAGGCAGAGCTCTGTACTCTCTCTACAGTCAAGTCATGAAGAGAAAGGAAACTGTATATTCTTATTTATTTGAGATGTATATTATTATTCATTCATTCATTTATTAATTGTATTTTTTTTAAATAGTATTTGCATTATTAGATTATGACTTTAGCCAGTTGTCAGAATTAGCTTTGTGCTCTACTCTGTTTGGAGCCACCACAGCAGAACATAAAGTAAAATTCCATCTTGATAGAATCTGATGTGTATAAAGTGACCATTGATCTGTCCATAACTCCAGAGCGCATTCCCACGATGCATCTGGCTGGAGTGGAAGCGTCTCATGATGAGTTGCTTTGAATCTGTCAGCTGACTACAAATCTGTATCTGCTCATGTTCACAAGACACTGGGTTCTTGCTGCTGTCCGGGAATACTCCTTATATTCCAATATTCACTTTAAAGCAGATCCACCATCTATTTTTTAACACTGTCTGTAAATGTTGTATCATTACTGAAGAATTTCAACGTGCTTCTGTTTGCTATGATCATCTGTGGCTCCTTTTTTATATTTTTAGTACATTTTAAATCTCAACACTGAGCAAAAACAATGTTGCAAAAGA